ACCAAGATATGGTTTAAAATGCAATTTAAAGCATTTTTGATTTGGATCATAGTAGGCTAATTTCAAAAAATATCGATTTAATATCTTTTTTAACATTCTCAATCATTTATAATACCTATATATGTTTTAAAATGCAATTTAAAGCATTTTTGATTTCGATCATAGTAGGCTAATTTCAAAAAATATCGATTTAATATCTTTTTTAACATTCTCAATCATTTATAATACCTAGATATGTTTTAAAATGCAATTTAAAGCATTTTTGATTTCGATCATAGTAGGCTATTTTCAAAAAAATATCGATTTTATATCTATATTAACATTCTTTATCATTTATAATACCTAGATATGGTTTAAAATGCAATTTAAAGCATTTTTGGTTTCGATCATAGTAGGCTATTTTCAAAAGAATATCGATTTTATATCTAAATTAGCATTCTTTATCATTTTTAATACCTAGATATGTTTTAAAATGCAATTTAAAGCATTTTTGATTTCGATCATAGTAGGCTAATTTCAAAAAATATCGATTTAATATCTTTTTTAACATTCTCAATCATTTATAATACCTATATATGTTTTAAAATGCAATTTAAAGCATTTTTGATTTCGATCATAGTAGGCTAATTTCAAAAAATATCGATTTAATATCTTTTTTAACATTCTCAATCATTTATAATACCTAGATTTGGTTTAAAATGCAATTTAAAGCATTTTTGGTTTCGATCATAGTAGGCTATTTTCAAAAAAATATCGATTTTATATCTATATTAACATTCTTTATCATTTATAATACCTAGATATGTTTTAAAATGCAATTTAAAGCATTTTTGATTTCGATCATAGTAGGCTATTTTTAAAAAAGTATCGATTTTATATCTATATTAACATTCTCAATCATTTATAATACCTAGATATGTTTTAAAATGCAATTTAAAGCATTTTTGATTTCGATCATAGTAGGCTATTTTCAAAAAAATATCGATTTTATATCTAAATTAGCATTCTTTATCATTTTTAATACCTAGATATGGTTTAAAATGCAATTTAAAGCATTTTTGGTTTCGATCATAGTAGGCTATTTTCAAAAGAATATCGATTTTTTATCTAAATTAGCATTCTCAATCATTTTTACACGCTTTTTATTGAGTTGCTCTGTTGGTTTCTTTGTCACGTTCAAATCTTGCAATCGATTTTTCGACCACTTCTATTGCTCCAATCGAGCTCAAATTTTTATTACATACGTATTCCCGGTGACAATACAATATTTTCACACTTTGGAACCACAAAAAGGCTTAATTATAGTACAATTTAAGTAAAACTTTTTTATATGGGAAAAAAATCCAATGTCAATGATATAAAATTTTGATTTGTTTAAAATATTATACTTGAAATGCTCAAAAGTCATTTATATGATTTATTATAGTTTAATTAATATTACTAATTATTAATTATACTATAAATTTGAGCAGCTAAAGATATTCTGGTAGGACAAAAAAAATTGACAAGTAATTTTTTCATGAATTTTCGTAAGTGAAAATTTAAATTTTCAAAAAAACCGTTAAGCACAAATCCGTTACGAATTAATACAAAATAACTATTAATATGCGATGTACATTTAGCACACATAGTTTGAGCATAAATTTATGCTGTTTTTAATGTATTGCATTATTTATAACACTTCACCAATTTAATTAAATTGACTTTTCTTTTTATTAACGGCTTGACGTATTTTTGCATAACATATAAATGATATTCATTGAATTTAAATTTGAAAAATCCGTTATAAATACGTTACATATGTGAGATGCATCTTTATGCTAAGAATCCACACGTTATGAAGTAGAAATGGTACAGATAAACACAAAATCTTTACGATTGATTTTTAATGTACATTACTAATGAATGCTTTGAAAAAATTAAATTTTATAAAACGAATGAAAAATTTTTAAAACTGGTAATTTATAAACAGTTGAACGTAACGGAGTGCAACGAAGTGGAGTTCAACACACCTGTAACCTATGAACCTACTGTAATCTATAAACAGTTGAACGTAACGAAGTGCAACGAAGTGGAGTTCAACACACCTGTAACCTATAAACCTACTGTAATCTATAAACAGTTGAACGTAACGAAGTGCAACGAAGTGGAGTTCAACACACCTGTAACCTATGAACCTACTGTAATCTATAAACAGTTGAACGTAACGAAGTGCAACGAAGTGGAGTTCAACACACCTGTAACCTATAAACCTACTGTAATCTATAAACAGTTGAACGTAACGAAGTGCAACGAAGTGGAGTTCAACACACCTGTAACCTATAAACCTACTGTAATCTATAAACAGTTGAACGTAACGAAGTGCAACGAAGTGGAGTTCAACACACCTGTAACCTTTAAACCTACTGTAATCTATAAACAGTTGAACGTAACGAAGTGCAACGAAGTGGAGTTCAACACACCTGTAACCTATAAACCTACTGTAATCTATAAACAGTTGAACGTAACGAAGTGCAACGAAGTGGAGTTCAACACACCTGTAACCTATAAACCTACTGTAATCTATAAACAGTTGAACGTAACGAAGTGCAACGAAGTGGAGTTCAACACACCTGTAACCTTTAAACCTACTGTAATCTATAAACAGTTGAACGTAACGAAGTGCAACGAAGTGGAGTTCAACACACCTGTAACCTATAAACCTACTGTAATCTATAAACAGTTGAACGTAACGAAGTGCAACGAAGTGGAGTTCAACACACCTGTAACCTATGAACCTACTGTAATCTATAAACAGTTGAACGTAACAAAGTGCAACGAAGTGAAGTTCAACACACCTGTAACCTATGAACCTACTGTAATCTATAAACAGTTGAACGTAACGAAGTGCAACGAAGTGGAGTTCAACACACCTGTAACCTATAAACCTACTGTAATCTATAAACAGTTGAACGTAACGAAGTGCAACGAAGTGAAGTTCAACACACCTGTAACCTATGAACCTACTGTAATCTATAAACAGTTGAACGTAACGAAGTGAAACGAAGTGGAGTTCAACACACCTGTAACCTATAAACCTACTGTAATCTATAAACAGTTGAACGTAACGAAGTGCAACGAAGTGGAGTTCAACACACCTGTAACCTATGAACCTACTGTAATCTATAAACAGTTGAACGTAACGAAGTGCAACGAAGTGAAGTTCAACACACCTGTAACCTATGAACCTACTGTAATCTATAAACAGTTGAACGTAACGAAGTGCAACGAAGTGGAGTTGAATTTGAATTGTTGTGGTCGAAATTCGATTAAAAGATTGAGACTAAAAAGTAGCAAATAAAAAAACGTTAAAAAAAACTTTTTAAAAAACACGCTTTTTTCCCGAAGACTAAAAAACAAATAACATTTTTTTTCTTGAAGTTAAGTCTGTTGTTAAGAATAAAAACCAAGCGACCAAAAAAGGAGCAAATAAAAAAATGTTAAAAAAAACTTTTTAAAAAACACGCTTTTATCAAAAAGATTAAAAACCAAAAACTTGAAAATAAAATAAGATCACACTTTTAGCGAATCAGGATTTTAAAAGTTTTCTTGTGACATCTAGAAATGTAACATAATTTTTTTCAAAATATTGTGATTAAGTCCAAGAACACAATGACTCGAAAAGCGTGGGGCTTTGAGACTTGACGTTCTCTTACTTAAGAATATAGCTGAACTAAGAAATTCATCCTTAAATTACGCCCCACGCTTTTAGAGTCATTGTGTTCTTGGACTTAATCACAATATTTTGAAAAAAATTATGTTACATTTCTAGATGTCACAAGAAAACTTTTAAAATCCTGATTCGCTAAAAGTGTGATCTTATTTTATTTTCAAGTTTTTGGTTTTTAATCTTTTTGATAAAAGCGTGTTTTTTAAAAAGTTTTTTTTTTAATACCTAGATATGGTTTAAAATTATATTTAAAGCATTTTTTATTTCGATCATAGTAAGTAGGCTATTTTCAAAAAAATATCGATTTTGTATCTATATTAGTATTCTTTATCATTTATAAATTCTATACATTGGGGGGGGGGGGGGGGGGGGGGTGCCAAGAAGTATGTAACGTTCTAACTGTCGCCTGTCTTTTAAAAAAAAGTTCACGAAACCTATGTAAATTCAGTACTGTATTTTTTAAGGGCAATTCTACGAAAAGGTTTCATGAAAATAATCCGTGTCAATTGCATGAAATTTTTTAATTATTTTATTTTCACTTGAGCATAGTTTTTCAAAAATCTAATTCTCATTTTCTTTTCTTTTGGTTAAACTGTGAATTATGATTACATCTGCACTCAAATTACTTAGCTATGGCTTGAGAAATTCATGGTTTTAATTTTAATATTTGGTAGTTTTTTTTGGAATTGTCTCCAAATTACTCTGTTTCATAATATGAATTTTTTCGAAGAATCCAAATTGCAGCTTAATTAAGGCTTCCACAAATATGATTTTGACATCGTTTTGAAGCTTTTACTTTAAGCTATAACTTTGTATACTTAGTATTACTGGAAATTTTACCACCTTAAAGATATTAATGAAAACATTTTGGAAATTTGGGCGAAAAAATTCATGTGAAACAGAGTAATTTTTCGTAGAATGTAAATAATTCTTTAATTAACCATTTTTAATATGTTTGGGTGAGAACATTGTGTAGATATCGGTAAAATCTACTATTAAATACATGAAACATGGGGAGTAATGCAATTGATAAAGAGAAATATAGATTTGGAGACAAATTTGTAGAAAAAATCATTCGTAGAATCGCCCTTAAACGTATTATTATCTCCAAATAAAAATTCATCACAATTGATCAAGTTAATTGTTATCAATTTTATAGTCTAAGCAAGAATAAGAAGTGATTTAAACTCTAATGAATCTTATTGAGTTTTACGTGATTGGATATTTACTTAAATTTCCGTTAAATTCAAATTTAAACATTTGTAGGGTTTTGGTAAAAGTCTTAGAAAAAATGGAAATTGATCGTGAAAATAAAGAAATTGAAAATTTATCAGGAAAAGTCAATGAATTGAGAGTGAAATTAAGGGAAGAGCATTCAAAAAGCCAGCATTTACATCGTTCAATTGCATTCGATCACAATAGATTCATAGAATCTGAGATATTTACAGAAAGTGATGTTACTGGTATTTGCAGTAGAATTAAAAGAAGAAAGCATGCAACTGAAGAAGATTTAATTAAACTGGCGACTTCTTTCTATCAAAATGAAGCTAATATATCTGCATTTATGAAAATAACAGGAGCAATCAATGTGATCGTAAAGGAATTTATCGGACATTCTGATCGTCAATTGTTGACAGCACAAGCTCTGTGTAATTTAAGTCTTTCTGATGCCTGTTGCTCAAAAATTGCTACTTTCGCTGGTGCTTATTTGATGATATATCTAAGGAATTTAACACAAACTTCATTAATTGTAAGTTAGTCTAATATCCAATTGAATTTAATTTAATTTTACTTTTTTTTTATCCAGCGAGTCTGTATTTGGACACTTCAGAATCTCGTATCTTCCAACAATCACAAAGCACTTGATATTTTGATGTCTCAGGAATTGCTTCAAAATACTTTGTATTTAACAAACACTGGAGATGTGGAACTTAAGCACGAAGCAATACAGTTACTAGATTTGATCGTGGAAAGGAAATGGACATCGTTAGGCATCGATGAAAAGGACCAAGTTATTAAAAGTATTGTGAGTTATGTAAATAGTCATCCTTTGGATTATAATGCACTTCAGTGTCTGTATCGTACTGGATTATACATAGAGGGTGAATCTTTAACTAATTTAGTAAATTTGATGTCAGGAAATGTCATTAATTTGCCATTTAGTCATGATAATGAAAAGTCTTTCTACTTTAGTGTTAAGATTTTGTCAAATCTATTCAAGCTGGACCCACATCACTTACCATTATTTCTTGAGATGCTCCTTAAGAATAACATAAAATTGTCAAACATCATAAATGAAGCACTTAAAGTACCTAAGCTCTTTAATATTACAAATGATTTAATTCATTTTGCTGGATTGATTTTAACAAGTGAACAACCTGTTGCTTTAAGCTATTTGGCACATGATGATCTTGTCAATAATTTACAAATACCCAAAATGTTTGCATTTTAGAAAACTTTTATTAAATTTTTACACCATTTGTGATGAAAACATCCTTGAATTAATGTCAAAATTGATTGTAACTCAAACTAATATAAAATCGTGGATTAATGGAATAGAATTTCATGCATTTTGAATAGTCATGCTCGTCAGAATGCACCAAAAAGTATCCTCAAGTCTAAAATATGTAGGAAATGCACATCAAAAATACGAATAAATCTTTTGTACTAAACAAGCTTATTAAACATGTCCAAGTTCCTTCAATTTTGAGACTAATGTATCAACGTCTGGAATAATTGAGCCTGCTTGACGAACTGGTGGATCTTCGACGGAAACAACTTCATATCTTGGTTTAATATCAACACCTACATCAGCAACAGTCAGCTTCTTAATTGGCTTCTTCTTAGCTTTCATAATATTCGGTAAAGTAGCATAACGTGGGATATTCAAACGTAAATCAGCACTAATTACAGCTGGAAGTTTAGTTGTGATTGTTTCTAAGCCGCCATCAATTTCTCTAACAACCTTCAGTCCATTATCAGCCTTTTCAATTGCGGATGCAAAAACAGCTTGTGGCCAGTCAAGGCATGCAGCTGTCATTTGTGCTGTTTGATTCGAGTCATCATCAATTGCCTGCTTGCCGAGAATTATTAAGTCACACTTTTCATCTTGAGCGATTTTAGCAAACATTTTACTAATGTGTAGAGGTTGAAGCATTTCATAATCTTTTCCAGATATTTCAATGTGAATTCCACGATCGACACCCATTGCTAAAGCTGTTCTTAAAGTTTCCTGTGATTGAGCTGGACCAACTGACAATGCAATTACTTCAGTTGCTAATTTTTTTTCCTTCATTTTTACTGCTTCCTCAACAGCAATTTCATCGAATGGATTCATTGAATGCTTAACTCCTTCTGTGACGACGCCAGTTTTGTCAGGCTTAACACGAATCTAGATTCGTAAGATGTAAGAGAAAAAAAAGGTTGACCATTAATTTATGCTTAGTAAATATCCAGCGAGATTCCAAAGTTCAAGGACGATTTTACATGACTGATAATAGCAGACATAATAAATCTTATGACTAAATTTCACAGTATTTCCTACCTTGACAGCATAATCAATGACTCTTTTAACTCCAACAAGTACTCTAGACATCTTTAAATGCTTCTTAATCGCCTTAAAGCACAACAAATAATGATAAAAATGAAAAATTAATTAAGATCTACGAAAGTTTATGTCACGAAAAAACCCTACAAATGTTTTTACTCCTCACAAATATAGCGCACGTCATTCAAGTAGGAAACTATTTTAGGAGTGCCTATTAAAATAACGAATTTTAAAATTTCGAAACTTCATTTTTACGAACACTTCATTTTTACGACCATATCATTTTTACGAAAAATTATTTTTTCGACTTTTTTTATAAAATTCAAATTCTGAAATGTCGTTAATTTCATCACGTGTTCTTTTCAATAATAAATCTGCAAAAATAAGATTAATAGAACAAATGTTTTTAAATGTATGGAATTAAAACGTATTTTTTTTTCAATATCACATTTGTTGTTTTCCATGTGTATGTTTAAAGGAAAGAATTTGTGTCTATCGAAATGGATATTGACAAATGTTTGGCTGGAAAGCCACAAAAGCATAGAATGCCACGTTTTGAAAAGACAGAGCATTCCATTAAATCAATCCTGAACCGTCGAAAATCCGTGCCACGAGTTGAAACATTAAAGGCTATTGCAGGAGTCAAAAATGATTTAAGAGCTTAATTGTGTTTGTTACTCCTTTAAACATACACATGTGGTCCATAAAATGTGATATTGAATAAAAAATACGTTTTAATTCTATACATTTAAAAAAATTTGTTCTATTAATCTTTTTTTCTGCGATTTATTATTAAAGAGAACACGTGATGAAATTAACGATATTTTAGAATTTAAAATTTATAAAAAAGTCGAAAAAATAATTTTTCGTAAAAATGATATGGTCGTAAAAATGTGAGTTCGTAAAAATGAAGTTTCGAAATTTTAAAATTCGTTATTTTAATAGGCACTCCTATTTTAGGTACCAAATCAATAAGAGCAAAGTATGTTTTCCTGGACTATTGAATTACGAAATAAACTGTCTATAGAGGGTCATCGATTTGCATAGCTTTATTATCTATTCTTAAATTACTGTTTCACTTAATTACAAGGAATCACAAATTATTATGCAGCATATTATATCCAGTCAAGCCGTATTGAACAAAGTGATCAGTAAAGAGCATGATACCGTAAAGATTAGGCTCTAAAAGTATCAATACAGTGAAAGTTTCTGGCCATACAAAAGTGATCATGTTTGATTGTATTAAATACCTTATCAGCAAATGATGAGCATTAAATACAAGTGTAGGAAGTGATCAATGGATTGAACCTTACAAATGTCACATATGTTTTTGTGTATTTATTTTTTGAAAAGTGAAAAGAAATGTATCAATTAAATTAATAAGAAATATAAATCATCCAGAAAAGTGCAATGTTATTAGAAAATAAGTTAAAGTACACATTAATACGTAATAACGATGGAGGAGATAGTCACTGGAATAGGTAAGATACAATGATTTCAAATTTGAAAGTCCAACTCATCAAAATTTAAAAATTGTGCTTTAATAATGTAGATCAGAGAAGCGACGATGGTTTCTGACGTTATTTTTTGGGACCTGTATGTTATATAGCACTCGTACAACAATGCCTTTAGTGATTCCAAAAATCAGTGCTGAAAAGAAATGGTCAAAGTCAAACAGTGGAACAATTCTCTCATCATTCTTTTGGGGATATACAATAACACAAGTTGCTGCTGGATATCTTAGTGATAAGTACGGCGGCGAACGAGTCATATTTATTGCCAGTATTTTCTGGAGTATAATAACAATAGCGATGCCAAATATCATCGAACTATCGTCCTTCTTCCAATCATATGCGCTTTTCTTTATCGTAGCTGTACGTGTCATACATGGATTCTCTCAAGGATTTCATTTTGCATCCATGATAAGTGTAACTAGTCAAAATCTTAATGTCAATGAGCGAACGAATTTCTTTTCTTTATTGACATCTGGAAGTGCATTTGGTACTTTAATGACTGGATTCCTTGGAACCTTTTTACTCGATTATTTTGGATGGTCATTTGTGTTTCAAGTCATTGGATTTCTAGCACTATCGTGGTCATTATTATTAAGATATTATACAATGTCGAATGGACGACAGCGTATTATTAACATATCATCGGAACTATGCATTAAAAATTGTGGAGTAAATGAGGAAGTGCCATGGTTGAGAATGCTCTCATCTTGCCGTCTATGGGCTTGTCTTTTAACACAAGCCTGTGAAATGAATTGTTTCTTTACACTCTTATCTTGGCTACCTACATTCTTCAATGAAAATTTTCCACACAAAAAGGCCTATCTAGTAAATATGCTTCCATGGATAGCCGTTTTAATCTTTACTTTAATCGCTAAAAGCTTCACAGAACGGATGATTGCTCAAAAATATTCCTTATCCACTGTGAGGAAGACTGTTCAGGCAATATGCTTTATCGTTCAAAACCTGTCACTGTTCATTGTTATGAATACAAAAGACTTTACAGTCGCTCTAGCATCAATGTGTGTCTGCATGGGCATCATTGGGTTTCATAATTCTGGCGTCACAGTTAATCCACAAGACCTATCGCCTGAATTCTCTGGCAGTGTTTTCGGACTAATGAATACTTTTGGAAGTACTTTTGGATTTTTGGGCGTCTACATTGCAGGACATATTTTGGAACTAACACAAAACTGGAACGCTGTCTTTAATATTATCATATTTATTAATTCAATTGGACTGTTTATATTCTCAGCTTTTGGATCAGCTGAGGCGATAACATAAAGTCTTACACATCAACATTTTATTAAGCATGTGATTGATTACATAAAGTCTTTTCCTTTCCATTCTTTTTAGTTTTTAAGAACGATGCATCTGAAAATGATGTAAATGAATTAATTGTTGTAATTGTTGCACAACTGCAAATGGTGAAGTTGATAAATATTCAAAACAAGAAGGTCTGGATCTATTGATAATAAAAAATAGACTCCTTTATTCATGCTATGCTATCTTCTTTTATACTAATTGCTTCAAGGCCTTACAAAGGAATGTGCACACCAAATTGCACACGGCACTGCAATTATTATGCCCTTGAATGAAAGTATATTCAACTTTAGCATAACGTCATTATAAAGTTATACATTACAATAAATTATAAAATACATAATGATTATCAAATTCATTAACGACATGAAATAATTCAAATCTAAAGCATAATTTGGATATACTAAAGTGACATCTAGTGAAATTTATAGAAAGTATAAAAGTATATCATAGATAAATAAATATGTTAATATCGTATATTAACATTACTCCCCCCTCACGAATTTAATAAACCCTATTATTTGCGTTTAGGTGATGGCTCTGGTGTTCTGATAGGTGGATGATCCATATTCGGTGCAACGGGCTCCATCTTGATGTTGACTGCAGTTACCGCTTCCCTGCGCTTCCAACAACAGATTCCTATTAACGTGATTAGCACGATCGCAACGATGGTTCCCAACACAGCAAACAGCAAAGTGGTTAAATCATCTTCTTTTCGTTCTGGGATATTTGCTTCTATTCCAAGATCGATTTCCTCTTGAATCTCCTTTGCATCTTGATTGACTAAACTGTCAATTAGAATTGTCTTGTGTGGAGTTGTACTTTCTGATACGTTCCAACTTAATTCTGGAATGTGGAATGATGAAACATTTCCAGATTCCTGATGATCTTCTAAATAATCAATCTGATTAAAGGTTGTGGATATGAAGCATTTCTGTTCTAAAATCACTGTACCAGTAATTCCATCAATTTTTGTTCTCGAATTTGGATGACATATTTTCTCCTTTTGAACATTACTAGCGAAGCAATAGACGTTTGGAATAACCTTAACCCAATAATCATATTCTTCAGGTAGTTTTTTATAAACGCATGATATTGACATCTCATTCATTGTAATTGCCACTGGACACGCTGACTTTTTAGACAATTTCATTAATCTTGAAGCTTCAATCACTTGATGTGTGACGTTAATCTGATTTATCAATCGAAACTCCTTCACGTACATACTTGTGACGGGATTCATAATCACGATTTGTGGTTCAAAATCTAAAATTTGTCCATCAACCGTTGGCGTTGGAATTACTTTGAATACTTTTAATGTTTCTTCATGTAGAATCGGCCACACTACTTCGTAAATTATTTGACTGTTCTTTAGGACGATCTTTATGTCAAACATTTCTCTCCACTGTTCTAATCTTATGTTTGGAACATGGATCTGATCTGCTTTTAATTTTCCAATCATTGTTTGAATTTCTTCGTTTGTGATTATTGCCTCAGTATACTTCTCAAAAATATACTCAAAATGCTCATTGATGAGACTATGAACGTGTTGGAACTGCAAAGCCTGTTTCAATTCTGCATCTCTATTGTCCCACGTCGCTTCGTACTCATTTACTGCATCCGTCAATATTAACAGTTGGCTGTTTACCTTCTCTTCAATGCTTTTTTGATGTTTGTTTGCTAACTCTTGTGCTTTTGACAGATGTTGAATTGCCTCATAACTAGGCTTATTCTGATGATAACCAAACAAAAGTCTCCATAGATGTGTAACAATTCCCTCATTATCAGTGCTTCTCTTAGACCTACTGCGTCTTTCTGATTTTTCTGGTTGTTTAAATTCTCCAATGAGTCGTTTAACATTATCAGATGAAGCTCTCAATACATCAAGATTTGCTGTACATATAGACTTTGAAAATCCGCTTGCACGATTGCATTGGACTTCATAACTATTCATTGCTCGTTTAATAGTTTCGTGATCTTGTTGTGGATACATTCCAGTGCTGACTTCCCACTTAATGTCACCTGCTTTCCTCCATGTTGTCGCAATATCGAACACCATAGCTCCATTAGCGGCAGACATCATTCGAGATGCTATGTACGTAGATGATGTCTTGTATAGTTTACCAGTGGGTGAACTTATGAAAGAAGCTTCGAGACAGCTGCAAGGAATTGCTGAGAGCGCTCAGTTGAAATTCAGAAAATGGGCGTCAAATGTTCCAGAAGCTATCGAGATGATTCCTGAAGAGGACAAATTGATAGCGATTGAGAAGGAAATTCGTGATGATGAAGTGTCAGGAAAGGCAGGAATTTTAGGACTTTCTTGGTTGATAGATTCGGATGAGTTATCTATTAAAATGAATAAATTTCGACAGCTTAAAGAGGGAGAACCATTGACATTGAGGTTTGCACTGTCCCAAATTGCAACTGTTTATGATGCAATTGGGTTGTTGAGTCCATTATTTTTGACTGGAAGATTAATAATCAAAGAGATTTACAAAGAATTGCTCAACAACAAGCCGTTGAAAAAAAGAGACAAAAGATTAGACATTTCACTTTCAGAGGAATTGAGAAAGTTATGGTGTGTCTGGAGTGAAGATTTATGTGCCATCAATGATTTGAAAACTCCAAGATGGATTAGACATGTTCCAGGCAACAGACTGTCTATTATAGCTTTTGCTGATGCATCATTGGATGGTACGGGATCAACAATTTACTCTCACTCAGAAGGGGAGGGTGAAATACATGTCAATTTACTAATGGCTAAGTCCAATATAAAGCCAAGTGGGGGAAATTGGACAATTCCAAAATTGGAACTGAAAGCTATGGAGAAAACTGTTGAGTTAGCCATGGATGTAAAGAATGCAGTTCAAAAAACGCTCAAACGAGGTAATTGCGATCAAGAAGTTGAGGTTTATTTCTTTTCAGATTCGGAAATTACGCTTGCATGGTTGCAAGGTAATCCAAATGATAGAGCTACATTTGTGAGAAATCGACTCAACAACATTAAAAAAGTATGTTCAAAAGGAAATTACTACTACATCGATACAAAATTAAATCCAGCAGATTTGGCAAGTCGCAAATGCAAAGCGGGAGATTTAATTGATAATCCATTATGGTGGCATGGACCATCATTTTTGACTGAAAAGGGGGCATTAGGAAAGCTTGAAGAGCGCCTCTACGAGACCATTGTAGAAAATAGGTCAAAACCAAAAGAAACAGAGGTTCGAGTAGCTAAGGTCAGCCATGAGATATCTGTGGATGCAATCATTGAGATTGCTAACAAGATATCAAGTTGGGTTGGTACTTTAAAAAGGATTGGGTGGCTACGTAGAACCGTCGTATGTTTTAAAACTCCGGGGACTCGTCACAAAGATTTGTCTGGAATGGAGTTAGAGGAAGCTAAGTGGGCCATCATCAGAGCTTATCAACGTCAGGCATATAACACAGAGCTTGATACGCTGTCAAACGGAAAAGACATCAAGACAGGACTATTGGTGGGTAAGTGCGCATTTATTGATGATAATGGTGTGCTTCGAATTCGTTCTAGGTTACAAAACGTAAAACCCTTGGAATGGTCGCAAGTTTGTCCAATCGTATTGCCAAAACTCAACATTGATCCAAAAACAAGCGATGAAGACTTTAATAAAGTATGTCCTTTAACAATGAAGCTGATTCTGTATTTTCATTTGGAAGTAATGCATGGAGGAGTCGACAAAGTTCTGGCTGCTTTAAATCAAGAATTTTACTTGCCAAATGGAACGAGAACGGTCAAGAGTATGATTTACAGATGTGTAAAATGTAGAATGCACAAGAAGCAGGTTCAACATCAACTCATGGGGAGCATACCAATGGAGAATGTTACACCATCACCACCATTCTATCATGTGTCGTGTGATGCTTTCGGACCACTCCAGATCAAGCACCAACCTGGAAAACGCACGCGTCTAAATGCTGATGGTGAGGAAAGACCAGGGGGCAAGGCATGGGGTATCATATTTGTGTGCAGAGCTACCCGTGGAGTTCACATTGAGGTTGCATCAAGCTTGTCTGCTGAGGAATTTCTAATGTGTTTTAGAAATTTTGTAGCGACACGTGGTTTACCTAGGTCTCTATTGACAGATAATGGTACGAATTTCAAAAAAGGCGGCGATATGTGTGTAAGTTTGACATCAGCAGAGCTCACAAAGCAACTTAGAGCAGCATGTAAGTCAAAAAAGGCTAATGCTAATGCAGCAAAGGTAATAAATAAGTATCTCAGACGTGATTCTGAGATGGAGTCAATGCAAGAGGCTATTGACTATGTAGAGAGTAAGTACAAGGGGCAACAGGTAATTTTCTTAAAAGGAAAAGGTGATTTGTTAAAATTTAGTTTGTCACCATGTTACAGTCCTTGGTTCAATGGTTTAGCAGAATCGGAAGTAAAAGTTGTGAAATCACATTTAGTTAAAATCATTAGAACAGTTTTGCTTAATGCAGCTGGGCTTCATTCAGTTTTGAAGAGAATTGAAGCTGTGATTAACAGCAAACCGATAGCTGTCACGAAATCTGATGACAATTCACGTCCGTTGGTCATTACTCCAGCCCATTTTTGGGCTTCGCGTCCTTTAGTGGCATTGCCATCAGGACCTATTCCAAAAACAAATGGTCAGGCTGTGGAACTGACCAAACGAGCCATTATGATGGATCAACTTGTTGAAAAGTGTTGGGAAGTTGTCCAGAATAAGCATTTCAATGAGTTGAAGTCCAGGCATAAATGGTTTAAGAGAGTTGAAAATCCTCAAGTAGGGGAAGTCGTGCTGTTAAAAGACAAAAACAGCAGCGTTAATTGTTGGCCTAAGGCAGTTATTACGAAGATACATCCTGGCAAGGATAAGATTGTTAGAGTAGTCACTGTAAAGAATTCATTAGGTCATACACATGAAAGAGCAATGACGGAAGTAGTCACTTTGCCTATCATTGCTAATATACAGTCCAACAAAAATAATGAGGCTACTGATAAAATTGATCAGAAGTTGATAAAAAAGCAAGAAAATAAAGTTGAACAGCCTAAAAGACAAAGTGCTAGATTAGCAGCTAGAAATTCTAGCAAAACGTTAACATTTAGTTTGTTAAAATTCATTGTATTAATTAGTTTCGTACCAATTGTTTTAGGCAGGGTGTTAATACCGCAAAAAGCGTTTGGTGGAGCTATGGTGTTCGATATTGCGACAACATGGAGGAAAGCAGGTGACATTAAGTGGGAAGTCAGCACTGGAATGTATCCACAACAAGATCACGAAACTATTAAACGAGCAATGAATAGTTATGAAGTCCAATGCAATCGTGCAAGCGGATTTTCAAAGATGTATTTGTCTATGGATATGATTGATAAGCATATTCCATAGCTTCTGGAACATTTGACGCCCATTTTCTGAATTTCAACTGAGCGCTCTCAGCAATTCCTTGCAGCTGTCTCGAAGCTTCTTTCATAAGTTCACCCACTGGTAAACTATACAAGACATCATCTACGTACATAGCATCTCGAATGATGTCTGCCGCTAATGGAAATCTTCTATTTTCAAGACTAGCTAATTCCTGCATTGCTCGAATTGCTAAAAATGGACTAGACGTATTCCCAAAAATTATTGTTGGCATCTCTACCTCCATTAACTTCCCATCCTTGGTTGGCATAAATGTTCTTTGATATGGAATATGCTTATCAATCATATCCATAGACAAATACATCTTTGACAAATCCGTTGAATTCATGCCCTCGAAAATTCTACTGCCGATCAGCACCAGTTGTAATGAATTCTGCAACTTCTTTCCTTTAAGCTGTATGTCATTTAAGCTTCTTCCATTACTCGTCTTCTGTGAGGAGTCAAAAACTATTCTCAAAGGATGTGTAAGAGAATCTTTATTAATAACTGGTAAATGAGACACATAATATTTTCCTGGTACCGATGTATCAGCTGGTCTGATATAACTTTTGACCATAAGATCCTCAAATTGCCTTATGTACTCAACTCTCATTTCTGGAGATAATTGATTCATTACTCTGTGTGTTCTAAAAATACACACTCTTTTACTTTCTCCTAAACCCTGATCTTCTAATAATGGCATCCCTACTACCATTTTTCCATTTCTGAGCCGAGAAAAGTATTTCATAAACATTTGCTCCGCGAGCTCTTCATCACCGCAAGGCTCAGAAGTATCTTGATCGAAAAATCTTCCTATAGCTCTAAATTCTGGATCTCCCACAGAAACCATCCTAGTATGCAAACTACGAACATTTACTGAATTTTCTAGACAACCTAAAGCCATATATCCAAATCTAGTATTTTCCAAAATTAAATCTTCAGATATGCGAATCATACCATCTTTTCTGATTTTAGCCACATATTTAACTGGCATGATAATGTCAATTCTCCCTCCTGTCAACTTGTTTGAGGTATCAGCTAGAGGAGCTTTAACTATTTGCCTAAGCTTTTCTGGAATTGGCTTTACACCTCCCAAAGATTTTCTCAAATAAGCAGTTATATTAAGAGAATATTTCTCATGCAGTGAATTCATTGTAACATTAGTTTCATGACGAACTGGCATTGTTTCTTTTCCCTGATAATCATATGTTTTAATAAACGTTGGCTTCAACTTAAGTCCCAAACGCTTTGCAAACTCATAAGTAATCAACGGTTGATCCGCTCCCGTATCAAAAAGAACCCTAGCTTCAACTGATTTCATCCCATCTTCTGAAGTACATTTTACTACAGCAGTTGGCAAAACAGCAACCGCATGAGATGCATCCAACTTTTTAGTTCCTACACTAAACTCTGGAGCATTAATTGCTTCTTCAGCCCAGTCAAATGTTTCTGGGTTAAAATAAACTCCCTTTTGCTCAACCTGAACTTTCTTATTCGAGGATGTTTCTGAGTTTTCATTTATCATATGCAATAAAATATGGTGCTTAGATCCACATTCTTTACATTTTCTACAATCATCCTTTGTCGCACAATTACAATCCCTATACTTTCTATACAGGCAAACAAAGCACTGACCTTTTTTCTTGATTGCATTTTGACGCTGTTGAGGCGTCATTGCCAAAAATTTTGGACACTTAACTGTCTTATGCCCCTCTGGACATATTGTACAGGAAATTGCTTTTTTATTGCGAATATCAATCTTCTTGCAATTTGAAGCTTTTGTAGGTTCCCTAACCTTACTTCCCGCAGGTAATATAAGCTCCCTAGTGCCACGCACATTGAGAAACATAATCTTGACATATTCCAAAACATCTTCAAAATCTGGAATTTTATCAGGAGTAATTTTTAAATGAAGCACAACTTTATTTTTAGTGCCTTCATCCAACAAATTAAACAACAATGCATTCTTAATAACATTAATTTGAAACTTTAGCTTTTCAAGCTCATTGTCATGTTGATCTTCGCTCATCAGCTCAGATGTAAATGACTCAAAATTTTTCCATTCAAAGGAAAACTTATTAAAAACCTCTTGAAGGTATTCACTACCCTTGGTAGCCTTAATATTTGGATTAACAAGTCCCATAAAATGATTATAAACCGTTTGACGAGCTGTAAAAAATTGCTCATCCAAAGCTTTAAGCATTTGATCATAATTCGAACCTACACTACTATCAAAACATTTCACGATAGAACGAGCGTTTGAATTCTTATTAATTGCTTTCAACAGAAAATCAATCTTGATTTCTGAAGGAATATTTGGAGACCTAGCCTCCCAAGTCCTAACTTTTTTACGCCAGACTCGATACTCTGACTCAAGTGCTGGAAATTCAGGAAAATTATTGTCAGCATCAACATGCTGCAAATAACGGAGCAATAGTTCCTCTCGATTATTGCTAGAGCTTCCCCTAGTGACAACTTTCTTAAGCTCACTAAGCTCTTTTTGCATGGATTGCATGCGCTCACTATCAGCTGAATCATCTATATCAGATCCCGCTTCAAAATCATCTTCAAAGTCTTGAGATGAAGAAGACAAATTAAAAAAATCCTGCTCATCAGGAAACAACTTAAAAATGCGCTTTTTTGAAACATCAACCATTGACTTCACTATGTCAAAACGACTTTCTTTAAAATAACTCAAATTATTAAGAACACCCTCTTTATTTAATTCTTTTAGTTGAGCATGTAAAGATTTGACTTCTGGCCAAGCAGTCACAAGTTTTCCTAAAACTTCCTCTGCTTCAGTACGAGTATTTTTAGAAAAACTTTGAACTCTTGTAAACAAACCCGAAACCAGTAATTGAAAACCTTGCTGTTTATCACGCAATTCTCCATACTTTTTGTACGTTTCTTCGTCAATCTTATTATCTTCATTTTTGTCACCCATCCCGCTCGAACCTCTTGTTGAGACCGGAATTTTTAAAAAAAAATTTCTTACTGGGTAAATGAAATAATTCTAATGCACCTTATGCACACAAAAAAAACTCTCACACGGAGAGAACAAAAGCAATTTTTTTTTTCTCTTTCCCAAATGTATAGAGAAAAGAAAATACAATAAAAAAAACGTCTCTACAATTATGTGTCACCTACACTAATATGTAAAGCCCAGAGAAAGACAATGCTTTAATTGACCTTGCTCACTAATTTTGCTCGCAACTTAGGTACCCTCAAAATTAGACACACAAATATGTGATTTTCAACTTGTACAAGATTTATTTTAAAAAAATGTTCTAATCCTTGGTAACTTTTGTACCCTTGATAGAACCAAGAATAAAATAATTAATTTTATTCCATACAATTTCCCAATTACCGATAGAAACTTGTAATATTGCGAAATTCTAATTTCCTTTATACCTTTTGTATTAAAATTAAATTTGCAAATGCACTTAATGCCGAACAATTAATTATTTTTAAATTAATGTCACAAAACAAGAAAAAAATCCACAAATTTCTCTCACCAAATCTCAACAAGATCTCAAAAACTATAATATTAATTTAACCACACACTTGTTAGAATTAATTATAGTACAATAAATGAATTAATCCTTTTGAAAAATTCACTTCACTCACCTGATGCGTTCTGGCCAGAAACGACTTTAATGGTTTACAAACTTGCTCAAGATTTATTCACCGAATACACTTTTTCTCATCACAACACTATCTGTGTGACCGCAAAATATTTCTAAGTGCTTATTAAAAACTCAACTTTTTCAAAGTTTTTTCAAAGACTTACAAATTATTTCCGATTCTTAACAACACTCTCTATCAATGTTTCAACGAACCGAAGGACCAATGTTGCACAACTGCAAATGGTGAAGTTGATAAATATTCAAAACAAGAAGGTCTGGATCTATTGATAATAAAAAATAGACTCCTTTATTCATGCTATGCTATCTTCTTTTATACTAATTGCTTCAAGGCCTTACAAAGGAATGTGCACACCAAATTGCACACGGCACTGCAATTATTATGCCCTTGAATGAAAGTATATTCAACTTTAGCATAACGTCATTATAAAGTTATACATTACAATAAATTATAAAATACATAATGATTATCAAATTCATTAACGACATGAAATAATTCAAATCTAAAGCATAATTTGGATATACTAAAGTGACATCTAGTGAAATTTATAGAAAGTATAAAAGTATATCATAGATAAATAAATATGTTAATATCGTATATTAACAGTAATGTTAATAAGGAAATAAATTCCAATTACTGTATAAATTATTTTTATAAGAAAATATCCCAGTGTTTTATTTTTGTGGATCTTATTCCTTAACATATTACAGGATGTAGGCATAGTCATAAGCCACATAAAATTATACTTTTTATTAATATAGGAAATAATACAAAAATAAAGAATTAAAGCATTTTGGACATGTAAGGTCCATCAAGTTCATATCCTAATTTTCGGTAATAATTTCTAGTTCCAACACCTGAAATTACAGCAATTTTCAAACTTCCATGCTCTTCTCGTGAAATCCTTTCTGCTTCTTCCATTAAAAGCATTCCAAATCCTTGATGCTGAAACTTTGTTGGATCTCGAGCATTTACAGGAACAACAGAGCCATAAACATGAAGTTCTCTGACGATTGAACAGCTATCGACTAATTCCGGTCTAGTTGTTTGCTCAGAGCACTTTCTTAAACGCAATAGACCAACTAAAATGTCTTGATCTGGATCTTCATATGATAAGAATGTTTCCCATCCACCATTAGCATAATAATCACGTCTGATTAATTCAACTTCATATGGACGAACTTTATTGTGAATTTCTTGAATTCCAACTTCTCGAGTTCTTACATCTCTGCAGTCTGTTCCAAGATCCTTCATTCTATTTAATGCTAATTCTCTCAAGTTGCCATTATCAACGCCTGAGCTAACGAGTGGCATAGGAATATCACGCTGCACTCTATAGACTCTTGTCCACGGTGCTACCAATGATAAAATTTTAGCTACTAAATCAACAAGTGTTGATGGTGGATATGACTTGTATCTTCCTGTTTTCCATAACTCATATAATCCAGTTCCTCGAATTACGAGAGTTGGATATATTTTTAATCCATCAGCACGAAAAGCTGGATTCTCAAAGAACTCAATAAACTGTTCGATGTCTCTTTCATAGTCCATATTTGGTAAATCAGGCATCATATGAGTAACGACTTTAAATCCAGCATCTTTAGACATATGAAATGATTCAGAAACAGCCTTAACTGTATGACCACGATTTGTATCTCTTGCAACATCCTCATAAACTGATTGTACTCCAATTTCTAATCGTGTACATCCATAGTTTAACATGTCTGTTAAATGACGCTTAAGACAATAATCAGGTCTAGTTTCTATCGTTATTCCAATGCATTTTGTATGAGATTTTTCCGAATATTTGACTGCTTCTGCGACATTCTTTGACGTATGACCAGAAAGTGCGTCGTGTAAGTTTCTAATAAAGTAATCGCGATATTCCTCAGACAGGCTCATAAATGTTCCACCCATAACTATAAATTCAACTTTATCTACAGAATGTCCCAATTGCTTTAACTGCTCAACTCTATGACGTGTTTGAAGAAATGGATTATATCGAGCTCTAATTGCACGCATTGATGTCGGTTCATATCCAGTATAACTTTGTGTAGAATATTCAAAATCACTATCAGGGCCACTGTACACATAAAATTTTAGCTTTAATTTTTAAACAAAAATCTGAATTTATGATGAGTTACCCTGGACAGTAGACGCATATATTTCCTGTATAATTGATGTGGGGACATCTATGAGGCTTACACATTACAGCAACAACAGCAATCTATGTGGAAGATGACTATATAGACACAGTACACTGTTCTATTTTTAAAAGTTTGTGGCAATCGAGCTCTTTTTGAAAATAAAACAGTGTTAAAGCAATAAAAAGATCCAGAAATCAACTTACACCAGAAGCAGTCCTAATAGGCTTTGCCTTTAATTTTGGTAACAATGACTTTTTATATTCATTAGGCACAGCAGCAATGATATCAACCAGTCTAGGAGTTGTTTCTAATCCATATTTTGATGATATTTTCGTTTTCAAGCGGTTTAAATTTACATCCTTTCCTTCATCATGCGATTTGACCAATTCCTGAATGATTTCACCAATTACCATCACCATACGTTCTTCACGGCTTAATCCAACGCCAAGAGGCTTCTTTTTTGTCATTTTAGTAATTAATTTACGCACAAATTTATTATTTCAATGAAAAAAATGTGATTTTAGTGATGTAAACAAAACAATCAGATTGACATATAGGAGGCGCATCAGTCACCTTTAACCAAAAATAGGAACTGTAAATAAAAATCAAGAATTTAATTAAATTAATAGCTATTTAACATACTTCTGTGATTAAATCATAAAGGATGACTTTACCAAGGCGTTTTCCACATAATAAGCAAATTATTAAGCGGATACAAAACACAGTTAAGCCAGAAGAAGGCACGAAATTTATCTCTAATAGAAATCCAAGAAATCTTGAGTTTTTAAGAATTGCTGAGAAACCAAAAGGCTACTTCCTTGATACACCATTCAGTAAGCCTGCATACTTTTGGCACAAGTAAGTAATTTGGTCAAATTTTCAACATCCAGTAATCAATAATTTTCAGACTAGTTGTTACTCCGTCTGCAAAATATGTGACTGCTGAACTAGTTCATCATCAAAACGGTGTAGTTATTGAAGCATCAACGAAAGAATGGGCTTTAAAGAAGCAACTGTTTAAGACATCTGATACATCAGCTTATATTAATCTTGCAAGAGTATTTGCTAATCGATGCCTAGAATGCGGAATCACAGAAATGAGTACGAAGCCATTGGAAGGTCCAAAAGTCGAAAGATTCATGAGCATCCTTAGAGATAATGGATTAATACTGACGGAACCGCCTCAAATCGATACATGGTCAGATTTAACAATTAACAGATACCAAGGCAAAAGAATTGTACCTAATGACTGGAAAGAAATAGTAGAAGAGCATTAAAAAATAGTCACTTGATAATAGTACATTTTTCTGAATCCCATGAAATCTGGTTTTATTGAATAAATTTAGATTTTAATAATTTTAGCGATCTACATTCACTGTTTATGACTCGTAATTTGCTCTAATATCCTTCCACAGTTTCTAAAATGAGATTAATTTAAAATTTCATGTATTTTTCTGATGATTGAATAATCATTTTATGCTTACCCCTTTGTTAGTGCTCTCAAAAAGAGTATCAGCGAAGACATCGAAGCCTCGTTCGAAGAAGAATACTGAGCCCATGATGGCAACAGCATATGTGGATGTTCTTTTCATAAAAATATTGTAGATTGCCTTCATTTTTGCACGATTTCTGAAGTTTTCAGTGACTTTTGGATTTAATTTTCAACAAAACAAACAACAACCTCTATAATTCAATAATTAGGTAATCCGAACCATTTGATTGATCCGAACACAAGTTTCACTAGGTTACACTGTTGCTGTTACCCTCTATAATTAAATATTGTTTACAAAAGTTTCTCGCTAGTTAATTAAGCTTTTTTGCCAATTTTAAGAAGAGTTTTAAAGAAAAAAAGTTCAAGTCACTATCAGCAGACAAATCTTTTTAAAAGATCAGTATTGAGTATGAGAAAAGCGAAAATTTAAACCCATTTAAATTAACTCGTCGATTTTTAAAAGTTATGGAAGCATGCGAAGAACAGCACCTTAATAATAGCACATCAAACTCGGAGGAGAAACAATCAGACAGTTTTAATTCCTCTGAATTAGACGATGCAATGAATGACCTATTAACTCAAGATATACAAGAATCCCAAAACGATTCATTAGTAACACAAGAAGAAGATCTGTTGGATATGATGAAAGAAAAATCGGTTCGCAAGAATGCAATGCAGAAACTTAATGTTTATACAGCAAAAAAGATTCTACGGCGAGCCAAATATTTAAAGGAAAAGAATTACTACTTTATTAGTAATAAAAATTATACATGGAATCATCCTACAAGAGAAAGACATAGTATACAAAAGATAAGGGCAAGGGAAACACTCGATAAATTAGATGAAACTACATCACAGAAAATTAAGAAGGTAGTTAAATCAGGCGATTTAACGATTCAAAGATTATGTAACTTAGGGCATCAAATTCCTCTAATAAGTAAAACAAAATTTATAACTCCAAGCTCGTTGTTAAATGTGTCGTCTTACGAATCAGGTCAATCAAGTTTGACACCTGAAAGTTTTCCAAAAGCTATCGTTTATCCAGATTCCAAAAAACTTAATGTCCAACCTATGAAAGCAACAGAGCATGGAAGAATGTCATTTAATGAGGTTTTTACAAAAGCAACTGAAGAACAGATCCAGACCCAAAAGACTATTGAAAAAGCAGTTTCCAAAACAGATTCGAGAAAAAAACCAAGAAATCGTGATTTAGCTTCAAAACATAAAGGAAGCAGTAAAATTGAATCAGTAATTGTTGAAAACGAATCAAGTGAGAAACAACCAGTCAAGTATTTAATTCCTCAGAATTTGCTAGCTTCCCAAAATGATGAACTGAGTACAGATTCTATTAAAAATGATTGTAATGCATCAACATCCAAATCGAATAGAAATTCGGTATCATCAGATGAAAATTTAGACATTTCACATTCCGTGATACCTGATAGACCACAAATCAATTTTGATCTTATAGATGCTCTTGCGGATTATAGAGTCATTGCAAGATATCTGTTTAATAAACTTGATGTTTCACCTATAGATTTTGATGGAACTGATGACTACATCAACCTTTACAAGTTATCACGCAATTAGTTTCTTAATGCTGCATTAAGATATATCTATTTGTGCTAAGTATTTAAAAGGATCTTCTTGATGGTAGAAAAATGAATAACTTTTAAAAAAGAATGAAATAAAACCATCAATCAAGCCTATCCACTATGGGCCAGAAATCGAAAACTTTTCCGAAAATTATTTTTTTGGTCTAAATGATAGCTTTTTCATTCCCATTTATGAAAATACTTACAAAAGTGGCCAATTCAGCCAAAGTTCCGAGATATGGCTTTTCAAAGTTTTGATTAAGAGTATTTTCTCGCCCCACAAAAACTGTCACTACTCTTCATTGGATTGATGAAACTCTTTCATTATTAAGCTGGGTAGCTTTAAATAAGAGCTTTATTTTAAGATAGTAAACATTTAAGTATGCATCTTTTAACTTTATGAATTTTAAGGTTTTTCAAAAAAGCACGTGTTCAGTATGATTACGTTCGTCTAGGACTTCACTTTTAAAATTAATGATGCTGAATCTTTTTTTTATATTGTAGATAGAAACAAGATCTACAACTTTTATGAAGATACTATAAAGTTTTAGTAAAGTTTTGCTGATGAAATTAAGTCTTTTCTTCAAAAAAAAAAACTGCAATTTTTTGACATAAATTCCCATAAATTTTCAGGATACCCCATAGGAGTGGATTTTTTTACGTGCTTTGAAAGCTGTTTGGATATACTATCAGAATATACAATCAGCTTGAGTTCGGTTACTGAGACAATCTCGAGTAATTTGACTTTGAAGTGTGACCAGAAATACATTTCAAAACAAAAAAATTGAAAATAAATTTTGTACATTTTTCAAAACTTTAGGTTTTTGCTTTAGAACAATAGATCTCATCAAGGCGCACATTTTGAGTATAAATATGTCATAGTTTGAACAATTTTTTTACTCAAATCTCAACAAAATCATTTTTATACATTTTTTCAACAAATTTTACTTATTTTTCAATTATTTTAAATCAAAACTTATTTTAAATCTTCTGATTTTGATATTTTTTGTAATTTCTTTGTTTTTATTCAAGGATTATGGATAGTTGATGAAAATTCGAACTCGAATATTTTTTTGATTGATTCAAATTTTATCTTCCAATTTTTGTAAACAAACAAGTTTGTTTACAATTTATGAGTATATTTTTCAATTGCAATTTTTTCATCTATTTGAAGCATAATTTAAGCTATGACAGTTGCAAATCGTTTATTATCACTAAATAATTACAGCAACATGCTTAAACAGGATCAAAAATGACTTAAAATAGAAAATTTTGAGAATTTATGAAAACATTCATTTTCGAACTTTCGTCATCGAAAAAAATATCGGGGGGGTTGGGGTGGCAAGGGGAGTGTCAGGTATATTTTGTGAAGCCGTATGAAGCCAATGATTTGAGGGGTGCTGACAAAGTGGGTGTCAGTTGTGGGGGGAGTGACAAAGTGGGTGTGAGGTGGGGATTGGGGGCAAGGGGGGTGTCAGGTATATTTTATGATTTGAGGAGTGCTGACAAGGTGGGTGTCAGTTGGGGGGGGAGTCCGAATTTAAGGGGGTTTGCGGGAAAAGTTTGTTGTCAGGAATATTTTGTGAAGCCATGTGAAGTTTTGTGAAGCCAGGCGAAGCTTTGTGAAAAGACATGGTGGGTTTCGGGGGAATTAAAGTTTTAGTGGGATTAAGAGGGTCCAAGTTTGAGAGGGTTTGTGAATACATTTATAAAATTTTTGTGGGATTAAGTCCGAGTTTGAAGAGGTTTGTGAAGCCATTTATAAAGTTTTAGTGGGATTAAGAAGGTTCGAGTTCAAGGGGTTTTGTGAAGCCCTGTGAAGTTTTGTGAAGCCATTTATAAAATGTTTGAGGGATTAAGGGGGTCCGAGATTGAGGAGGTTTGTGAAGCCCTGTGAAGTTTTGTGAAGCCATTTATAAAATTTTTGAGGGATTAAAGGGGTCCAAGTTTGAGAAGATTGTGAGGTTTGTGGTTATATTGACCTTAAAAACATTATGGTTATTTTCGTCTTACAGTTATTTACATAATAGTAATCAAATTTTAACCCTGATAAGAGGCACCACGGGCGCCTCCGGAAAGCCTAGTCTAATATATAAAAGCCCAACTCACTGATTCACTGACTCTGGAACGGAAGCCACGTGAAGACATTTGTGAAGCCGTGTGAAGACAAAAATTTAAGGAGTATTGACAAGGTGGTTGTCAGGTGGGTGTGGGAGTCAGATGTGGGTCGGGTGTCAGGTGGGGAGGGGGGGGGGGGGGGGCAAGGGGAGTGTAAGGTATATTTTGTGAAGCCGTATGAAGCCAATGATTTGAGGGGTGCTGACAAAGTGGGTGTCAGTTGTGGGGGGGTGACAAAGTGAGTGTCAGGTGGGGATGGAGGCAAAGGGGGTGTCAGGTATATTTTATGATTTGAGAAGTGCTGACAAGGTGGGTGTCAGTTGGGGGGGGGGAGTCCGAATTTGAGGGGGTTTGGGGGAAAAGATTGGTGTCAGGAATATTTTGTGAAGTCATGCGAAGCTTTGTGAAAAGACATGGTGCATTTCGGGGGAATTAAAGTTTAAGTGGGATTAAGGGGGTCCGATTTTGAGAGGGTTTGTGAAGACATTTATAAAATTTTTGTGGGATTAAGTCCGAGTTTAAAGAGGTTTGTGAAGCCATGTGAAGTTTTGTGAAGCTATTTAAAAAGTTTTTGTGGGATTAAGGAAGTCCGAGTTTGAGGGGGTTTGTTAAGACATTTATAAAATTTTTGAGGGATTAAGGGGGTCCGAGTTTGAGGGGGTTTGTGAAGACATTTATAAAATTTTTGTGGGATTAAGTCCGAGTTTAAAGAGGTTTGTGAAGCCATGTGAAGTTTTGTGAAGCTATTTATAAAGTTTTTGCGGGATTAAGGAAGTCCGAATTTGAGGGGGTTGTGAGGTTTGTGGTTATATTGACCTTAAAAACATTATGGATATTTTCGTCTTACAGTTATTTACATAATAGCAATCAAATTTTAACCCTGATAGGAGGCGCCACGGGCGCCTCCAGATAGCCTAGTTCTAAATATTGAAATTTAATGTAATATGCATGTAAATACTCTTAACTATTTAAAGATCACATTTTATCCAATTAATGTATGAATAAAGCTGGAATGTGCCCATCTTTGATATGTTCCTTTAATCTAAAGGTAATTTATTTTCGATTCAGAACATATAAGCATCCAATCAACTATTTTTAATAAGTTCCGGTATTTATTTTTATTTCCATACAATTGTAAAGCGAATTATTAAAATTAAGGACCTATAATGAAAACAGGTTTTAAAAAGTATTTACATGCATATTACATTAAATTTCAATATTTAGAATTATTATAAAATAAAATTTGATAAAAAAAGATAAGAAAAATGAGTGTAATTTGTAAAAAATTATAAAAAAATTACCTTAAAGTAAAAAAAATTATGAATTGTTGCTCTAGGAGTGACATTTGAACATAAAAACCCGAGGACTATGGATAGCACGCTATCAGTTAAACTATAAATATTTTGAATTTTCCCGTATTTTTTTCGATGACGAAAATTCGAAAATGAATGTTTTCATAAATTCTCAAAATTTCCTATTTTAAGTCATTTTTGATTCTGTTTAAGCATGTTGCTGTAATTATTTAGTGATAATAAACGATTTGCAACTGTCATAGCTTAAATTATGCTTCAAATAGATGAAAAAATTGCAAATGAAAAATTTACTCATAAATTGAATCAATCAAAAAAAAATTCGAGTTCGAATTTTCATCAACTATCCATAATCCTTGGATAAAAACATAGAAATTACAAAAAATATCAAAATCAGAAGATTTAAAATAAGTTTTGATTTAAAATAATTGAAAAATAAGTAAAATTTGTTGAAAAAATGTATAAAAATGATTTTGTTGAGATTTGAGTAAAAAAATTGTTCAAACTATGACATATTTATACTCAAAATGTGCGCCTTGATGAGATCTATTGTTCTAAAGCAAAAACCTAAAGTTTTGAAAAATGTACAAAATTTATTTTCAATTTTTTTGTTTTGAAATGTATTTCTGGTCACACTTCAAAGTCAAATTACTCGAGATTGTCTCAGTAACCGAACTCAAGCTGATTGTATATTCTGATAGTATATCCAAACAGCTTTCAAAGCACGTAAAAAAATCCACTCCTATGGGGTATCCTGAAAATTTATGGGAATTTATGTCAAAAAATTGCAGTTTTTTTTTTTGAAGAAAAGACTTAATTTCATCAGCAAAACTTTACTAAAACTTTATAGTATCTTCATAAAAGTTGTAGATCTTGTTTCTATCTACAATATAAAAAAAAGATTCAGCATCATTAATTTTAAAAGTGAAGTCCTAGACGAACGTAATCATACTGAACACGTGCTTTTTTGAAAAACCTTAAAATTCATAAAGTTAAAAGATGCATACTTAAATGTTTACTATCTTAAAATAAAGCTCTTATTTAAAGCTACCCAGCTTAATAATGAAAGAGTTTCATCAATCCAATGAAGAGTAGTGACAGTTTTTGTGGGGCGAGAAAATACTCTTAATCAAAACTTTGAAAAGCCATATCTCGGAACTTTGGCTGAATTGGCCACTTTTGTAAGTATTTTCATAAATGGGAATGAAAAAGCTATCATTTAGACCAAAAAAATAATTTTCGGAAAAGTTTTCGATTTCTGGCCCATAGTGGCTATCCATTATTGTATTTTTTTTAAACCACATTTGAAATTCCGTATAAAAAATTTAACTACTCAAGTCAACAAAATTGCGTTGCAAAATAAATAAAGCTTTTTTTATTCATCATAATCATCAGTTTAGTTTTTTCCTGCCAAAATCACTCGATGACGCATTTGTACATGACCATTTTCGTCATGTCTTTCATCAAATGTACAAACTTTTCTTTCTCTTGTTCAACATCATGTGAGCTTAATTCAAATTCTTTAAGGTAATCAAAGTACTCTAATTTGTTGACATAATCATAAGAATCGACTACGTTCAGTACACACTTGTCAGAAATGTTTGATGATGAACTTTCGTCAATGTCAATCTCCTTCATTCCAGCTACCATTTGATCTTTGATTTTAATGACTAAATTATTGTACAGATCTTCGCAGTTAATTGATGATGTATCAAGGTTTTTCGGGTTCGCGTCAAGTATGTATTTGGTTGTGTCGATTAGTTTATGTTCAATTATGTGCTTGCGTACACAATAATCATCTTCATCACTCAATTCTTCATCTTCTTGAGATTCGTTAGTCATTATTGAGTCAAAAATAGCACCAAATTGGTCTGAAAAATAGCAGTCGATTATTGCATTTCCTGATAGCTCAATTAACTTTTGCATGGCGTTAGTCATTTCCTCTATTCTTTCACCATCAGTAACATCATAATTTTCTTCACTTAATATTTGTGCTTTAAAAGCATAGTCAACAAAATTTACTTCTTTGAGTCTATCCACAATACATTCAGAGCTGTTCTTTAATTCTTCTTTCTCATCCAATTTATTTTTAACTTCGAGGAGCGTTGTCATTTCTGTAGATTTTATAAAGTTTAAACAAGAACTAGTAATTTCTTGTGCTGCTCTAAAATTATCACTGATCAGTTCTTTATTCCTTAAATAGTTCGTTATGCATAATTTTCCATCAAATGGTGCACAATCTAAGAATGAAATGTTTGAAATAGCAACAAATAAAATAGCAGCGAATGAAATCATTTTCCTTTTTCCACACTTCCCTTCCAGTAACTTGAATAAACTGAAGTTGAAAATTCAATGATTGTTCTATTTATTTTAAAGCTCCAAATTGTTGATAAGATAACAAAAAAATAGTTCAACTGGAATCATTAGAGAATATAATGATAGCAATCGCCACATTTTTTTTTTGTTTTTTAAGCTACATATTTAAAGTATGAGTCGATATGTGTGATGAATAGTAACAAGTCATTTCTTGTAAAATAAGTCAAATATTGCTTTCAAAAACTGCATGCTCGTAGCTGAAAAAGGATATAAGGTTGAATTTATTGGTATTTTTTGACGTCCTTTTCTTCCTCTTTTCGATACATTTGTTAATATACCATGTTGAGAATAAACGTTACAAACATGACAGATAAATCCAAACAATCAAATCTAAGTTTTAAAAGGAGATCAGCAATGTTAACTTATCTATTTTCCGCTAATCATTAAAACCAGCATGGAGAGCTACAAAAAGCTTTTATGCTTTTTTTGTGAAACAATTGCAGATTAATTCTAGTTCATTTTAATTGCACTATATTGCATTTATTAACGACATACTGTCCGGTAATAATTCACATTTTAGACTTTTGTATTTGTATACATATGAATTATTATTATTATGTAGGATAGTTGATTTATAAGTGCTTTTATAACTTAATGCAGTTAATACTTTTTATTCATAAAGCAATATTTTAGGTAAGCAAAGAGAATAAACAACCTTTGATTAGAACTCTTTTATTCTTAGATTCTGTGTTCAAGTCAGCAGAGCTCAAAGTCGACTCGATAAAAGTGAAGTTGACTCGAGAAAAGTTGAGTCAACTCTAGTCGACTTCGAGCTCTGCAAGTCAGGAATGCTTTTAAGAAGATGGGTTCTGAGATTCTGAGAAAAATTCAATAGCCTTTATTTTTGATAACTATTTTTAAAGTTTTAATAATTTTCATTACCCTGTTTTTTTCGTTATAAGCTAGTAGCTTAGAAGAATAAAAAAGTGATTTTTTTGGCTCACTTTGGCTTCTTAGTAAAGAAATTGAACTTCAATAAAAAATTTGAATTTTTTGACTTAATTAAAGAAATTTTGCTATCTTTCCGATTTTATTTCATTGACAATGTCATAAGGCATTGAAACTGAAACTTAGAAAGTTGAAAAAGATTAATTATACTATATTTTTGGTAGTAGCTTAGTAAAGATTGCAAAAAATGTTTAAGTTCAAAAAAACTTTACTAAGCTAGTAGCTTAGTAACGAGTAGTAGCTTATAACGAAAAAACAGGGTAAATTTATGCAAACAAAGTTTTAGTATTAAATTATTAAAAATATTTTTATGCATGCATGCAGTTCCATTTTCCCTTTTGATTTGATACAAAAATTGGAACATAAAATATGTTGGGTTTAACATCCTTTATTTTAGCAATCGATATTGTTTTTCCAACAACTTATCAAGCTGTGCTTTAATTTCTTTCAACTTTCCAATTCTTAGTGCATTCAATATAATTCGCTATCTACATATACCACAACATTGATAGTAAGATTAAAACCCAATTGATCGATCGATCAAGGCACTTCGTTCAATTTAGAAATTCAGAAAAACTGAAGATGTTCATTTTTGAAATTTGTTTTTTTAACTTACATTCAAACTTTTTTACACCTTTTAATTTTTAATAACTGCTTTTGCATTTTTATTGTCATATTATAATGTATTTGTGAAATAATATAAACTATTAAATTTTTAATAACCTTTTAATTTACATTACATTATTTTTTATTACTGACTCGTGAGTTTTATTTAGAATACAATTTGTATTTAATAAATTTGCAAGGAATTTTCGGACTTATTTTAAAAATTAAAGTAAAATGTGCATGTTCAAAAGTCTAGTTTTTACTGTTGCTGTAAGCTTCATAGTTTTCCAAAGTGTGTTAAGTGAAAAAAATCCACTCTGCAATGGACAAAACTGTGACAAATTTTTTGAAAATTATCTGGTAGATGATTTGAAGAGGCACTAAACATTAAATTGAATAATTTAATGCTTTCTATTCAATTTCAGAATGAATATAACATAAACGTTTCGAATAATACCATTAAGGCTCAATATAAGAAACAATTCCTGGCAAATCTTCGAGAAATTCGAAACTTTAATGCTAAAGAAGTAAATGCTTTTAAAAAAGGAATCAACAAATTTTCCCATCTTTCATACAACGGAGTTGTGAGCCAGAGTCTTGGATTAGATTCAATTTCAACCCCAATTCTTGGTATTATTACTTCTAAGCCTGCTGCCAGCAAATGCTCAATCGATTCATTTGATTGGAGAAATGAAGGTGCTATTACAGCAGTGTAAGCGCTCCATTAATTTTCATCATCAAAAATGACTTAAGTGTCATATAATATTATTTTAGAAAAGATCAAGGAAGTTGTGGAAGTTGCTTTGCATTTGCAGCAATTGGAGCAATAGAAAGTCAAATATCAATCAATTACAACAAAAATATATCACTATCCGAGCAGTATGCAATGGAATGTATTTACAACTTTTGGAAAATCGGAGGTGATGCATGTAATGGTGGACAACCTAGCTATGTAAGCGATTGTTTAAAATCACGATTATGAAATTACAAATTAATTGTTTATAAATTTCTAGGTTTATTACCTTTCATATATTAATCGAGGTTTTCCAACAGAAAAAAGTGTTCCTTATCATGCTTACGATGATGGGATTTGTCCTTTAAATGTTTCATTTGTTAAAGAAGCAGGAATCACTAGTTATCGAACTTTTACTGGCTATAGAGATAATGAAATTGCTTGCTTGCTTGCTGCAAACGGACCTTTGTCTGTTGCAATATTTGTTAACAGCTCACTAATTCAGTATAGTGGCGGAATCTATGATGATGAAGAGAGTTGTGGACCAAATCCTACTCCCAATCATGCTGTTCTTTTAATTGGATTTGGTGTTGATTCAAACAACAATATAAGTTATTTTACATTAAAAAATTCTTGGGGTGAGTTTTTATTATCTTCTTCAAATTTGATTGTTTATAAGACTTTACAAATTTCAGGAACTTCATGGGGCGAACAAGGCTTCTTCCGAATGAAAAAAGGAATTAATCTGTGTAACATTAATTCTCTTCCACAGCAACCATACATGTAGATATTAATGTTTTTTTTTTTATAATTTGTTTTACGTACAAAAGGAATGAGTTGAGATTAAAATATAATTACAAAAAATAAAAAAAGAAGCAACCTTATAACCTAATCTTTTTCATTGTAAGTATTTTCTTTCATAAGAATTATTTGATGATCCGAAATATTTTTTAAATCTTTAACAAGACATGTTCTGTCAGAACACAATAAGATTGAAGCATTTGATCTATCTTAATAAATAGTTCTCAAGTTGTGTGCTTCGACACACTAGTGTACCCAGAAAAACTAAAATTGACCCTGATAACCCTTAAGAAAGATCACCAAGTGCAACACGAAAATTTTTGTGTTCAAAAATGTACCGAGAATTAAAAAATGTTTGCCAGCACTGATTTATATTGTAAGAACGTAGCTGACCAGTGATCAATAATTGTTTGGAAGGGACTTGTATTATGACACGCATGTATAGTATACTAGAAGAGCACGGGATTCGTCACGTGGTTCAAATAACAAAAAACACTTAAAATAATCAAATGAAAGAATAGATCTTTGAAAAGGATCTAATAATGTTACTAAGCAATTTTTGATTTTTCAAGAGCGTCTTTATTAAACATTTATAAAAAAATAAATATTTTTAAAGTACAGCTTCATTACTTATTTTTGTTCTTTAAGAATATTTTTTTTTCTCAATAGACACTGATTTTTTTTTTGTGTAGAGTTCTATTAAAGCTTTCATTTTTAAAACCTTTTTCGAATGCTTTTTTTTCAGGTTTTTCCTTATCCTTTTTTGCCATTTATTTTTGTTTTTCTCGCTTTTGAATTACTGTTAAAACATTCAGGCTCAACAGACCTCCTCAAGCTCAGAACACGGAAATTTCGAAGAAAATGGCTTTTTACATTTATTTTATACATGAGGCGATTGGTTTCCTCTGACTTCGTTAAAAATATTTGACAAAAATTGTTGAATAATTAAATCATATATACAGAACCGTTCAAAACTGTTTCCATGTTTCATGAAAATTTTTCTTTCCAACATATTTCTTATAAAACGTAATATTTTCCCAACATGTTATATATCGTTTTAAAGCTTGTTTAATAAGCTATTTAAAAATGATAAGCAACTTTGGAAAATATTTAATTAAAGTAGATTTTTTTCTTAAAATATACACTGTCACATGGAAACACTTTTGAGCTAATAATATTTTTCCAAATTTTGATGCATAGCTGAACTAATTGATTAAAGTTTGTTTATTATAGGAGAAAGCAAGTAAAATATTATGTGCTATTAGCACATAAATTAAATTGCTAGACAAAGTTAAAATATTTAAATAAGAATGTCAAATCACATGATAATTTTTCATATAATTTTGCAAAAAATTAGTGAATTAAAGCCAACTGTTGTGATGTTTGCATCTATACATGTTATGTCGTTATTTACGTAAAAAAATTGAATTTTTGTAAATGCTTATAGAATTTTTGAATATGGCTATCATTGACCAACAAAATTGTAAAAAAAATCCGTTTACTCTCACAATGACTACATAATTCATAAATGGTTATCTTTGTCAACATAAAATCTATCAGAAAAAGCGATTAAAGTTCTTTGAAGTAGAGGAAGGAATAAAAATTGTTTCCTCCTATAATAAACAAACTTTAATCAATTAGTTCAGCTATGCATCAAAATTTGGAAAAACAATTATTAGCTCAAAAGTGTTTCCATGTGACAGCGTATACTTTAAGAAAAAAATCTACTTTAATTAAATATTTTCCAAAGTTGCTTATCATTTTTAAATAGCTTATTTAACAAGCTTTAAAACGATATATAACGTTGGGAAAATATTACGTTTTATAAGAAATATGTTGGAAAGAAAAATTTTCATGAAACATGGAAACATTTTTGAACAGTACTGTATATTGATCAGAGGAATCTTATTATTATTGTAGATATTGTTATCGTGAAAAAAAGTCTATTTAAAGTTAAAAATTCCATTTTGCTATTCTGCAAGGATTAAAATAAAGAATGCATTATTTTAATTATCCAAGAGGTTATGAGCCTTATCGCAATGAAGTTTAAAGAAGAAGAATCTGCCATGTGCGAGCGATTGAACTGAAAGAATTATCGTGTCTGGGCACTTCGAATGAAGATGATTTTGATTAAGGATCTATGGGATATCATCGTTCCGGAAAGTTCAAAGCCAGAGGATGCAGTTAGAAGCTTGAAAGCATTGGCACATATTGTTTTGATGGTTGATAATGATCAACTGGTACATGTTTCGGATGCGAAAGGAGGAAAGAAAGAAGCACATCAAGTGTCATCAGTGCAAACGAGAAGGACATGTCAAGCGGAATTGTCCAATGTTGAAGAATGAAACCGTCAAAATGGCAAATTTCAGTGGAGGGCGCAGAAATTGTTACAATCCTAAAGACTCTCAGTGGTGTATTGACTCTGGTGCTTCATCTCTCATGACCTACAGTAAGTCGTTTTTCCTTAGTTTTGGTGAAAGTTTTAGGGGTACGGTTACCGTTGCTAATGGCGAGAAGGTTGAGTACATAGGACGAGGGGATGTTTGTATGAATGTATTTGTAGGAAACAACGGCATGTTTCACTAAAGTGGATTATCCTAGATTTCGGATTATCCACTTCAGTTTTTTGGAAATATCTCCAGACGCTTAAGGTTATTAAGAGATCTAATGTGTGATCAAGTTAGAGTCCTTTGCTACTTAAATTAACATATGCTTAGAATTTTTATATCTTCATTAGTTTGAGAATTATAGCAAAAATCGAAGTTAATCTCCTAGATTTGGCTAGAAAATTGAATAATTAATACTTCTTAACGAAAAGTAAAAGTTTAAAGTATACAGAAATTTCAGGCATATTTCACTCTATTATAATCCAAAATTAGAAATATTACACCTCCAATAAAGTTTAAGATATTTACAAAAAACTGAAGTGAATAATCCGAAATCGAGGAAAATCTACTTTAGTGAAATAGGCCGCAAAAGCTTTAGTGTAGATCTGACTGACGTACTTCTGGTGCCATGCATTGACAGTAATTTGATCTCTGTCTCAAAGGTCTGTAATAAGTGCTTTAATACTATTTTTGATTCAACTGGCTGTTACTTTAAAGTTGAAGGTACCTTAAATTGCAGATTGCTGAGAAATCAGGCGATATGTATGTTGTAAGAGCTGAAGTTGAAAGATCATGCTTGGTTAATGACAGAATGGATAGATGCTGTGTACATAAATGGCATCGAAAATTAGCTCACAGAAATTTGCATGATATACTCGCGATGAAGGATAAAGGTTTGAAGATTGCCGATTGTGATTGCACAAATGTGTGTGAATCATGCATTCTAGAGAAAATTTCTAGAAATCCATTTCCAAAGAAGGCAACACCTGTTGAAAATACACTTGACTGTATAGTCAGTGATATTTGTGGCCCTTTGCCAACTACCTCAGTTGGAGGATTTCGATATTTTGCCACGTTCACGGATGTTTATTCGAAATGTTATATCTTTTGAAGGCAAAGAAGTACAGTCTAAAGTCATAGAGTATTTTGAACTGTTGAAAAATACGTTCGGTCGAAAAGTTTAAATGTTCCGTGCGGATCGAGGGACAGAATATTTAAGTGAGGAAGTTCAGAAGTATTTACGTTTAGAAAGAATTCGATTTCAATGTACTGTGGCTTATTCACCAGAGCAAAACTTCTTTGACAAGAAGCCAGATTTCTCAAATTTTAAAGAATTTGGAGTTTGTGTTTATGTGATGATTCCTCATCAGAAGAGAAAGAAGCTAGATCACAAGGCACAAAAGTTAGCGTTCGTAGGATATGACGGATGGTCGAAAGCATATCGACTTGCAAATGTGAAATAACGGAAGATAGTTGTGTCACGTGATGTTGTGTTTCTAAAAGAAAAGTTCATGAAGATAAATCAGAATTCATCTCATGAAATGAAGAGAAGTAGCGGTGATTTGGTGCCGTTCCCGTTTTCGTCTGGCTCAATGATTCTGAATTGTTTTATGATGCTGAAGACTCTCAAGATGAAAGTGAGGTAGAAGAGCATGAAGAAGAGACAGATCAAGCACATATTGAACATGGAGAATTTGAGAATGACCAAAGTCAGGAAATCATTGTTGATCATAATTTAATGAATGATCAGAACTTTTCGGTTCGGGAGGAGAATGGAAGAAGTGATGAAATCAGAGTATCAAGTAGAAGAAATAAAGGTCAAAAACCAGAACGTCTTGGTGATTTTGTTACTTATTCATCAAGAGTTGATTTTGAGCCTAAGACACCCGAACAGGCTATGAGTTGTGTTGATGCTGATAAGTGGAAAAAAGCTATGTAAGACGAGATTAAGTACATTAATCAAAATTAAACTTGGGATCTTGTGAAATTGCCAAAGAATAAACGTGCAATAGGTTGTAAATGGGTTTACAAGCTTAAGCGAGAGGATAATGGCCAAGTGTGTTCATATAAAGCAAGATTGGTTGCTCAAGGATTTTCTCAGAAGTATGGTGAAGATTATGATGAAGTGTTTGCACCAGTAGCTCGATCAGCAACATTTAGGATTCTTATGTCGATAACTGGTGTTAATAATTATCATGTTAAGCAGTTTGATATTAAGACTGCATTTTTGAATAGTGATATCGAGGAGGAGATATATATGAAGCAACCACCTGGATTTGAGAAGGGAAATGATGCTTGCAAGTTAAGAAAAAGCCTTTATGGGTTAAGGCAAGCAGCAAGAGCATGGAATAAAATTTATCATGAAGCAGTGATTCGTTTTGGATTTAAGCAAAGCGTAGTTGATAAATGTCTGTATAGCATGAAGAAAGGAAATGATACTTGCTATATGATTGTTCACGTCGATGTCATTCTAGTCGCATCGAATAATGAAAAACTGATAGAACAATTTAAAAATCACATTGCAAGCCTTTTTGAAGTAAAAGATATGGGAAGTGTAAAGCACTTCTTAGGAATTGATGTGAAACGTGATAAAGATGGAAATTTTCATATAAGTCAGAAACAAAACATTGAGAAGATTGTGGAAGAAGCTGGAATTAATGATGGAAAATATTCAAAATATCCTTTAATGACTGGCTATTTTAGGCATCCTGATGATAATTATTTAGAATCAAATAATGAGTATGGAAAACTCATTGGTAAACTGTTGTATGTAAACACAAATACAAGACCTGATATCGCTGCATCTGTTGGAATATTGAGTCAAAAGATTTCATAACCAACAAAGACTGATTTGATAGAAGCGAGGAGAATTATTCGCTATTTGAATGGTACCAAGAATCTAAGTTTGATGTTGAGTGATAAGAAGAAGGTTGGAGAATTGAAAGTTTATTCTGATGCAAGCTGGGCTGAAGATTCGTTGGACCGAAAATCTATCAGTGGTTTTCTTTGTGGAATTAATGGAGGTATTGTTTCATGATGTAGCAGAAAACAAAACGTAGTATCGTTATCATCAATGGAAGCTGAATACATCACACTCTCAGAAAGTTGCAAAGAGCTAAAATGGGTAAAATGTTTACCAATTCTTTTTCTGAGTTTGTCGTTCCAGATAAAACTACTCTGTATACAGATAGTCAGAGTAGTATCGAACTGAATCAAATCAGAAATTCAGCAACAGAAGCAAGCACATTGCAATGCATTGATACTAAATATCACTATGTGAAGCAATTGGTTGATTCAGGAGAGATTGAAGTGAAATATTGCAGCACTGACGTAAATATAGCTGATATGATGACCAAGCCGTTAGGAAATATTAAACTGAAGAAATTTACTGACGATTGTGGACTGCGTTAGTAATATTAACATAGTATATGCGAAGTTAATATTAAGGAGGAGTGTTGAAAAATTAAGTCATATATATATATTGATCGTAGGAATCTGATTATTATTGTAAATATTGTTATCGTGAAAAGAAGTCTATTTAAAGTTAAAAATTCCATTTTGTTATTCTGCAAGGATTAAAATAAAAAATACATTATTTTACCAAACAGGACCAAACAGGACTATTTTGCTGCAAAGAATTCATGGAGTAAGTTTATTTATAACTTTTTTTTAAACATTACAATCAGAATCATTCAGTTATGACGTCACAGATAACGTAATTTCAATTATTTTATAGGAAAAAATTGGGGAGTGAAGGGTTTTATTTGAATGTTAAAGGCAAAAATATTTGCAATTTAAGAATACTTCCTTAACAACCATATTATTGATGATGATGATAGTCAAGAATTTTAAACATTTTTCAATTACTTTACTGTAATTTGTGTTTATTAAAGAAGAAAAAGAATTAATTGAAAGATTCTGAAATTGTTGTTTCATCGTCATCTGTTCCATCATTCTTCTGTATTTCATAAGTTCCACCCTTTTGTATTGTGAATGTTGCGGGTCCTTGGGATACTGTATAGGTTTTAGATCGTTTTGAATTTGTCTGAACTGTGAATGTGTTATCCTCAGCAGGTTGATTAAACTCTTGGATCTTTAAGATTTCACTTGTATCAGGTTGATTAGCTAATGGAGCCAGGAAAACTTCATCTAATCTTTTTATTATATCTGAATACACTCCAATTTGTTTAAATTCATATGATTTTCGAAGTATCGATTCTTGAGATCCTACTTTAACATCTTCAATGGAATCTTTCTCATTATATGATTCAAAGTTAAAAATAATAATGCAACCGGGATTTCCACCATACACAGCGCAAGCTAAGAAAAAATCTTTTGGATGATAATCTATTGAGCTAATGAAGCCTCTGTCTCCAAGAGGACAATTAATTACTAAAGCGTTCTCGTTATTTTCGGATGCAACAATATTTCTGTTAATCATTTTATAGTATCGAATACTTGGACCATTTGTGGAATAAATTTGAGTACCACATGGCGATATTTTTAATCGAGTCTCAGATTTTGAACTTAATTCGTAAAATCTTTGGATCAATGAACCTGTTGCGATTCCAAGTGCAAAAATCGCATTTGATGATTCAACATTTTGAGCATCTTGTAGACGAAAGTAAATCTTGTTACCTCGTGGATTTATTTCTAGGCTTTGGATGATTCGTCCACGTATTTCATCAAATATAAAGTGTCTATTAAGTTGATATTCATTTGCATCGTTCATAGTCCATTCGATAATGTCACCCATAGAACTAGATGAATAAAATGCATCAACACTTTTTGTTGTAAGCGACGTGATAAAAGTAAATTGGCTCGATTTTGGATGCTTTAATTCTTGACAAAGCTCAAAGCTTTCCAGTCCCCCCCGATTTCTCCAAATTCTAATGATATTATCCCGACACGCTGTCACAACATGAAGAATTTCTGAGTCATCAATTTTAAGAAACTTTGAAGCATACACAAATGCTGGGTGCGGAAGGATTGAATATGAGTAAGAATCTTCCAAAAGCTTCCAAACAATTGCTGTGAAATCAGCTGAAGCAGTCACAAGATACTGTTGATTCCTTTGTTTTTGTTTGCTCCAATCCATATCATGAATTATATCCGAATGCTCAAGCATCATGAAAATTTCCGTCATTTCAGGAAATTTGTGAATGTGAAGGATATGTCCATTGTGGGATATTTCAGAAAATGCAATATAATTTCCATCATGACTAAACTGAACATTTAAGGATCCTTTATCTTGTAAAGGAATTTTTCTGAATATTTGATTTGGCACTTTACAAGCTTGTCCTGGAACTTTTCTCCAGTATCTTTGCAGATTCTCATTTGCGGATAAAACTTGAATTCGATTGACTTTGACATCTTCTTTATCTTCATTTTCTATTTCTTTAGAATTCAAATTGATATCTTTTAGATAAATATTCAGCACAGATGGTAACTTCCTCTTTGGCATTTGCCACTGCTCAAAAATTGAAACGTCATCGCTTAAAATCTTTTCTTTTTTGAACTTGAATGAAAAGCATGAATGCTTTGCTGCTTGATATTCAAACAATTGAAGTTTTAACTTCTTATCGACATTCGCACTGCTCTCTGTAAATAGTTTCATAAATGCCCAACACACAGGAATATTTTCATTGTTGATGACTTCAAAAAATATAAGAATATTGTTGTAGATCTCACGAAGTCTTTTTAAATCAAAATTTGCTTTGACCTTTTCATTCCAGTGACAAATGAAGTTGCTGCAAAAATTAATGATTTCGTTAAAAGAATACGTTAGGGAATCCTTCATAAATTACGTAATCAAAAAATTAAATTTTACCCATTAGGGGCCGTTCACTTATGACATCCAGGAGGGGGGGGGGGGGGGGGGGGGTCAGCAAGAAAAGAACAATAGAAATTCCAGGAAATCCATTGTTCTTTTTTGAAAAATGACCGTTAATTTCGGACGTCATAAGTGAACGATCCCATAATACCCATTATTAAAATAAAATAATTTTTTCGGGACTATCCATTTAATTTTTAAAAATGTGAACATTATTAATGAAGGACCCAATCTTTCGTGAATATAAAAATTTACTTACTTAAAGTCGTTATTATAAGTAGCATTTTTTGTCCATATTAAGTCTCCAATTTGTTTCCCATTATCTACATTGTAGAATGAAATTTTAATCCTCAATCCTTTTATTTCGCTCCGATATTTTATTGAGCTGGTGCTTTTGATGTAAATTGCTAAGCAATTAGAGAAGAAAAAAAATTTGTTTTACGTATTTCAAATACAAATAATTTCAATGAAGAACTTACCGATAGCTTTGTCGCATGACGTTATTTCCATCCTCTTTGTCTCTTTTATACTTTCTTCTATATTTGATGTTCGAGTCTGATCATCACTTAATTTTTTCGACTTTTTTTGACCGATATTTTTAGACATGTGATTCTTTGTCTTCTTTTGTGGTTGGGGAATTTCGTCAGACAGACTTTCAGAGCTAGATGATGTGAAGCTTGTTGTAATGCTAGTTGTTAATGAGTCTCTCTTTTTATTAAGATTTTTATTCTTCTTTTCTTGACGTTTTTTTACTTTTGTCTCTAACGAAGGAATTTCATCTGACAAGTTCTTTACTGACTCTGACTCTTCAACATCCTCTTCTTTATCTACAGCAATAAAATCAGTCTCTTTAGTACTTTTCGTATTATCATCAGCCCATTTACCATGCTTAATTACGAAAAATGTTTCATTAATATCGTCTGGCATCTTTTCAGCCTCATGAAATACTCTGATGCTACTTGTTGGTTCCTTCTTTTTCTTCTTCTTTATCTCATTAATGCTAATCACTGTATTGTGTTTTGAACTGCTTTGTGAAATTTTTTTGCTCTCAGATGAGAATGATTCATTTTCAGAGTTCAAAGATTGCAACTGAATAATTTCATTTTCATTGTTCTTTTCAATTTTATCAAGCGCATTGATTCGACGAGATGCTGGAGTTGGTGGTTGTATTGTTAGAGGAGATCTCGATATATTTCTTCGAGCAGGAACTGGCGGTGGGCTTGGTTTTTTCTGTGATTTTTCTTCAATCGTTTTTACTTCTTGGACAAATAAAGATTTTTTTCTATCACCTATTTGGTGATTTGTGTCTTTTGGAACATCTAACTCTACCAACTCTGATAACTCACTTTCTAAATTATCAAGAAGATTTTCCATTGATTCGTGGGACAACATTTTATCAACAATATTTTTTTGTATTTAATAAAGTCTTTAAAATCTTTTTACGTTTTTAAAAACTAGTATAAACAAACTGTTGCTATAGATACCAACCTAACAACAAACGTAAAACTTACTTTTTGTACACATATATTAAAAGGTGGTTGATTCGTGAAAAACATAGAAATAATATTTTTGGAAATTTTGATGTAAATAGGTAGTTTTTAATTTAAATAACATTTAACAGAGTCGTTGCAGCGATAGGAACTAAAGCGTCGGAAAATCTTTAGAAACTTCTTTAGTAAAATGTTATTTATTTTTTTCGTCAAATTATTTTGGGGCCGTTCACATATTACGTTACGAAAAAAAACGAATTTTTTCACCCCCCCCCCCCCCCCCCCCCCCCCCTGAACGTTCATAATTTATTTTATTTGGATAATTTTTTTTTGATGTGAATTTGTAAACAAATTTTTTTCGTGAACTTTTTTCGTGAACCCCCTAAATCGAATTAAAAAGATTTTAAAGTATACGGAATTCTATCTTCATTCTTAATTTATTAATTTATTGAAATCGGCTTTCTGGAATCGATTCTTTTCTTAACAACTAAAAACAATAAGATTATTTTATTAAATTTACAATTTAACAATGCTCAACATGCATGACCTCCAATTATTATGGAAGTATTACACGTGCTGCATGGCCAATGAATTTGAATTTAACCGTTTAGTTATCTTTATTACATTTTTATTGTTCCGGTTAATCTTAAGTGAATCTTGAACTTTACCTTGAAATAATACTTTCAATACAAATCGTCTAATGATGCGAACTACCAAAAATATTCTGCAAATACTGTCAAGAAGAAAATAAAGCCGATGATCAAATTTACTTATTTAATTTACCCGATTCATGTCCACAAAAATATTTTTTGATGATGATCAAAGATGAAGTTTGATTTACTAATTAAACCGTGGGCTTATCTTCAGCCGCAGTGCTAAAATTTTCCTAAAATTTCTACGAAAAGGTGGTTTTATTTATTTTTTATAATAATATTATGTTCATGGCCGTATCCAAGAACAAATCTTGATGATTACTATGCTTCTACGCATTTTTGGATGTGGCTTTTAAAATATCATTAAGCTTTTTGTAACCTTTTTAGATTTTTTAATATTCATTCCCCTTCATTTGACGTCATGAAATGTCTGAACTTAGCTTTAGGCTATCGAGCTCTTCTATAAGCTATTAATTTCTATCTCTTGTATCCAGATCGTTAAAAAAATTGGTTTTAAGCTAGCCTATTTTAGTTTGATCATGTTTAAAAACTAGCTTTTCAATTTTCATGTTACTTTCATGAAAATAAATATTAATAATTTTATGAATAGTTGAATGATATAATCGGAATTTTTTTTTGCTCCTTTTGGGAATTCCATGTTAAGTAATGCTAAAACTTTAAGTAATCAATAAGAACCAAGAATAATTTTTGTTATTTTTATGATATTAACAGCTTTGTTATAAACGGATTTTCCACAATAATTTTTTTCTTTTGCTTGTTTTAAACAATGAAACTTGATTTGAATACATATTATTAATTTTTAAATATAATAATAAATACTATTTACAAAAAAAAAACTTTTTAAAAAACTACGTTTTTCGCGTAGACTAAAAAGTAGAAAATAACTTTTATTCTTGGTTGTAAAGAATTTGGTTTTAAATTTTCAGATTATATTTAATAAATTTTTATATCCTAGTCAATATTGTTCACAAAGTTTCGAATAAGTGCACTTTGATCTTATCGTATAACTCAACAACTTAAAAACGTGGGCGCATTATAAGAGGAGAAATAAGTTTATGTGAAATCAATACTTTATGATAAACTTAAATTAATGCGCCCACGTTTTTAAGTTGTTGAGTTATACGATAAGATCAAAGTGCACTTATTCGAAACTTTGTGAACAATATTGACTAGGATATAAAAATTTATTAAATATAATCTGAAAATTTAAAACCAAATTCTTTACAACCAAGAATAAAAGTTATTTTCTACTTTTTAGTCTACGCGAAAAACGTAGTTTTTTAAAAAGTTTTTTTTTATAAAGTATTTTATTTTCTACTTTTTAGTCTTATTCTAATGAAATAGAGAAATAAAGATTATAGGGGGTTTATAGGTTACAGGTGTGTTGAACTCCACTTCGTTGCACTTCGTTACGTTCAACTGTTTATAGATTAGAGTAGGTTTATAGGTTACAGGTGTGTTGAACTTCACTTCGTTGCACTTCGTTACGTTCAACTGTTTATAGATCACAGGAGGTTTATAGGTTACAGGTGTGTTGAACTTCACTTCGTTGCACTTCGTTACGTTCAACTGTTTATAGATTACAGTAGGTTTATAGGTTACAGGTGTGTTGAACTTCACTTCGTTGCACTTCGTTACGTTCAACTGTTTATAGATTACAGTAGGTTCATAGGTTACAGGTGTGTTGAACTCCACTTCGTTGCGCTTCGTTACGTTCAACTGTTTATAGATTAGAGTAGGTTTATAGGTTACAGGTGTGTTGAACTTCACTTCGTTGCACTTCGTTACGTTCAACTGTTTATAGATCACAGGAGGTTTATAGGTTACAGGTGTGTTGAACTTCACTTCGTTGCACTTCGTTACGTTCAACTGTTTATAGATTACAGTAGGTTTATAGGTTACAGGTGTGTTGAACTTCACTTCGTTACGTTCAACTGTTTATAGATCACAGTAGGTTTATAGGTTACAGGTGTGTTGAACTTCACTTCGTTGCACTTCGTTACGTTCAACTGTTTATGGATTACATTAGGTTTATAGGTTACAGGTGTGTTGAACTTCACTTCGCTGCACTTCGTTACGTTCAACTGTTTATAGATTACAGTAGGTTTATAGGTTACAGGTGTGTTGAACTTCACTTCGTTGCACTTCGTTACGTTCAACTGTTTATAGATTACAGTAGGTTTATAGGTTACAGGTGTGCTGAACTTCACTTCGTTGCACTTCGTTACGTTCAACTGTTTATAGATTACAGTAGGTTCATAGGTTACAGGTGTGTTGAACTCCACTTCGTTGCACTTCGTTACGTTCAACTGTTTATAGATTAGAGTAGGTTTATAGGTTACAGGTGTGTTGAACTTCACTTCGTTGCACTTCGTTACGTTCAACTGTTTATAGATCACAGTAGGTTTATAGGTTACAGGTGTGTTGAACTTCACTTCGTTGCACTTCGTTACGTTCAACTGTTTATAGATTACATTAGGTTTATAGGTTACAGGTGTGTTGAACTTCACTTCGCTGCACTTCGTTACGTTCAACTGTTTATAGATTACAGTAGGTTTATAGGTTACAGGTGTGTTGAACTTCACTTCGTTACGTTCAACTGTTTATAGATTACAGTAGGTTTATAGGTTACAGGTGTGTTGAACTTCACTTCGTTGCACTTCGTTACGTTCAACTGTTTATAGATTAGAGTAGGTTTATAGGTTACAGGTGTGTTGAACTTCACTTCGTTGCACTTCGTTACGTTCAACTGTTTATAGATCACAGGAGGTTTATAGGTTACAGGTGTGTTGAACTTCACTTCGTTGCACTTCGTTACGTTCAACTGTTTATAGATTACAGTAGGTTTATAGGTTACAGGTGTGTTGAACTTCACTTCGTTGCACTTCGTTACGTTCAACTGTTTATAGATTACAGTAGGTTCATAGGTTACAGGTGTGTTGAACTCCACTTCGTTGCGCTTCGTTACGTTCAACTGTTTATAGATTAGAGTAGGTTTATAGGTTACAGGTGTGTTGAACTTCACTTCGTTGCACTTCGTTACGTTCAACTGTTTATAGATCACAGGAGGTTTATAGGTTACAGGTGTGTTGAACTTCACTTCGTTGCACTTCGTTACGTTCAACTGTTTATAGATTACAGTAGGTTTATAGGTTACAGGTGTGTTGAACTTCACTTCGTTACGTTCAACTGTTTATAGATCACAGTAGGTTTATAGGTTACAGGTGTGTTGAACTTCACTTCGTTGCACTTCGTTACGTTCAACTGTTTATGGATTACATTAGGTTTATAGGTTACAGGTGTGTTGAACTTCACTTCGCTGCACTTCGTTACGTTCAACTGTTTATAGATTACAGTAGGTTTATAGGTTACAGGTGTGTTGAACTTCACTTCGTTGCACTTCGTTACGTTCAACTGTTTATAGATTACAGTAGGTTTATAGGTTACAGGTGTGCTGAACTTCACTTCGTTGCACTTCGTTACGTTCAACTGTTTATAGATTACAGTAGGTTCATAGGTTACAGGTGTGTTGAACTCCACTTCGTTGCACTTCGTTGCACTTCGTTACGTTCAACTGTTTATAGATTAGAGTAGGTTTATAGGTTACAGGTGTGTTGAACTTCACTTCGTTGCACTTCGTTACGTTCAACTGTTTATAGATCACAGTAGGTTTATAGGTTACAGGTGTGTTGAACTTCACTTCGTTGCACTTCGTTACGTTCAACTGTTTATAGATTACATTAGGTTTATAGGTTACAGGTGTGTTGAACTTCACTTCGCTGCACTTCGTTACGTTCAACTGTTTATAGATTACAGTAGGTTTATAGGTTACAGGTGTGTTGAACTTCACTTCGTTACGTTCAACTGTTTATAGATTACAGTAGGTTTATAGGTTACAGGTGTGTTGAACTTCACTTCGTTGCACTTCGTTACGTTCAACTGTTTATAGATTAGAGTAGGTTTATAGGTTACAGGTGTGTTGAACTTCACTTCGTTGCACTTCGTTACGTTCAACTGTTTATAGATTAGAGTAGGTTTATAGGTTACAGGTGTGTTGAACTTCACTTCGTTGCACTTCGTTACGTTCAACTGTTTATAGATCACAGGAGGTTTATAGGTTACAGGTGTGTTGAACTTCACTTCGTTGCACTTCGTTACGTTCAACTGTTTATAGATTACAGTAGGTTTATAGGTTACAGGTGTGTTGAACTTCACTTCGTTGCACTTC